TTGATACCAAAGATTATTAATTGTGTCTACAGCTCATGTTGATACCAATGATTATTAATTGTGTCTACAGCTCATGTTGATACCAATGATTATTAACTGTGTCTACAGCTCATCTTGATACCAAAGATTATTAACTGTGTCTACAACTCATCTTGATACCAATGATTATTAATTGTGTCTACAGCTCATGTTGATACCAAAGATTATTAATTGTGTCTACAGCTCATGTTGATACCAATGATTATTAATTGTGTCTACAGCTCATGTTGATAAGATATCGAGATGAACTGTAGACACAGTTAATAATCATTGGTATCAAGATGAGCTGTAGACACAATTAATAATCTTTGATATCAATTCATCTCGATATCAATGATTATTAATTGTGTCTACAGCTCATCTTGATACCAAAGATTATTAATTGTGTCTACAGCTCATCTTGATACCAAAGATTATTAATTGTGTCTACAGCTCATCTTGATACCAATGATTATTAATTGTGTCTGCAACTCATCTTGATAGCAATGTGATAAGTTTCCAAGTAAATATTTCACATTTTATGTCTTCTTGCTAGTACTTTTACAGGCCATGTGCATGGTTTAACCAGAATAACACTTGTAATATGTAGCTACTGTTTGTTTGTAGTTAAGCACAAAGCTGTACAATGGGATATCTGTGTTGTGTTCACCACAGGCATCAAAACCCAATTTTTTGTATTATAAACCTACAGACTTAACACTGAGCCATTAGGTGGGTGGAGAGGAGGGGCATTTGCAGCTACTTAAAGAAAGGTTAAAAAAATACCCATTTTATGTTTTTTTTAATATTTTTTCATGTATTAGTAACTATCACAACCTATCAGTTCAACCATCAACCATTCACCAACTTTTACAAGGTCTTGCTCTTATATTGTTAAAACTGATGATAGTTGATGTTTTTATAAAATTTCCCTATTTTTGCCAAAGCGATCAAAGGATTATTCCTGTAATCAAATCCTGTCTTTTTAGTTAATGGTACAAAAGGAAGGAGCTACTTTATCACTAATAAATATAATGTTTGGATATAGCACAAAGTAGAATTACAGAGGTGACTAAGAAAAGATCTGAATTTTGTTGTTATTGAAATTATTAATTTAATGGTTTTTTGTATTTATATGGTTGCACAGTATTTGTTTTTCACACAGCCAAGGATGATGCAAATTGATGTTGAAACATACAGTGTCTTTTATGACTGTTGATTGATTTGTTATACAAAATTGATCATTTGAATATATATGTTTATATTTAGTTAAAATGTAAATTAACTTAGGCTTCTTTTGATTAATAACGTACTAATTTTTGATCCATTAAATAATATTAGTTCATATACATAAAAGTGAATCCAATATTTTTATTCACAAAAGATAAATTAAACTTCTCAAAATTAACTAACTGTTTTAGGATTGGCAACTTGGTCTACACTGATGTGCATTGGATTTCTTCTCGGATAAAATAAAGATGTAACCATCTGAATCCCTCCACTGGCCAGGAAAGACCTTTGTTTTGTCTGAGCAAACAAAAACAATTTAATGAGTGTTCTTTCTATCAAATTCCATTGGAATGTAAATTTTTTCATTTGGAATTTCTGTGTTAAAAATCCCAGTGTTTAATTCTCATACCAAAAACTCTTTACGGTTATGATAACTACTGTATATTTAAAGTAGTACAGTTATGTTTTTTTAAAGCTGTAGAGCAAATCATTTTTATAACACAACAGATACTGGTACCTTGATTAACTTAACAATTTTTGTAACTGAACATATAAATAACTGACAATAATAGATAAAAATGTGACCCAAAAACTTCATGATACAAGAACTAAAACAATGCAACAGCCTACTTTAAACATATTGTACAATAAATTGACAAGTTTTACTGAACAAATTAGATATATTAATCTCATACATTTTAACACTGTGCATATACACACTCAGAACAAGGTCAAACATATGACCTTTATGGTGGAGAAGAACTTTACTTCTTCTAGCATCTGGTATATTTTAACAAAATTAAACATATTCACATTAGTGATAACAGTGGTATCTATTTGTAAGCATTACAAGTAATATAAGTATATATGAAATATGCAAAAGTAAACTTTGATACTAAAGAATGCTCTTGTGGTTTGCAAAAATCTTACTCTTCCATGAAACATACCAAGTCCAGTCAAGTTAATGTATTCAATTCAGCCTCATATGTTACTTTCTGTAAGAGGGTTTGACCACAAAAAACTATCTACTGTTTCGTGAGATGTTTGTATTGACTACTTTTCAACTGTAATATAAAGCATATTTCTGGATCATCAAATGATTTAATAATTACTTTATATGGTTTGTGACTGGATGAAGATAAACATCTGGAGCTGTGACACAACTGTCACAAAGTACAATCAACTACTGGACACAGTAGAGAGTAGTGCCATCTACTGGTCAAATTTAAGTTTCATAAATGTGTGATTTTGACAAAAATTTAGCAATATACACTAATGAGTTGTCATCACTGTACTTTACATTATAAAGTCCAACCAAGCCTTTAACTGAGAAAGTATTCTGACAGAAGTTTGTGGAGAGTATCTCCAGAAAGTCCATACTACACCACTTGGCCATTAGAAACAGTATGTCTGTGACTGAAGTTGTGTTGGTGGGAACAACTTTTGAAGTGGTGATTTCAATCTGCAGAGGCTCTACAGGAATGTTGCATCCAAGTGTGCCAACCTCACATCTAGGGAGGCTGCAACAAATGGTACTTCACTTGTAGAAGCTGCATGTTGACTTGGTTTACCTTAAATTTCTGCCAGCTAAGCAACAGCAGTACCTTGACCCTGCTAATCTAGTTGCAGGCCTCCCATTCGATTACTGCTAAAAACATTTTTAAAAGTTTCTTTTTTCTAAACATTTCGAGCAAATTGTGGTTTTATAAGCCAAAACAGTGTTAAATATATGTAAAAAAAATATTTGACCAATAATAAATATGTATTTCTATACCCATCTGTAAAATGTGATGGAAAAAATCCATTACTTTGTGTATGATGACAGATTACACCATTGTACTGAAATTATAAACATGAAGCAGCACCCGACATTACAATAACTTTGTCTGGCTCTTTGAACCAACTAACTCAGCAGCATGTAGGCTAAACGACCAGGCTAGAAATTCCTAGGGTTCAGGTATAGCAGTAAGCCAGCAGCACTTTGTCTGGTTCTTTGAACAAAATAATTTAGCAGCACCCAACATTACAATAATTTTGTCTGGCTCTTTGAACCAACTAACTCAGCAGCACCTGACATCACGATAACTTTGTCTGGCTCTTTGAACCAAAAATTGGAATGACTCTCACTTTCATAATTCACCAGCAGCTAAAAGTGTTGAGAATGTTCTGGAATATCAAATTTCAAACCAGATTCTTCGATCCATAACTAATTAACCCCCAGCTAGATCACACCTGACCCTGAAAAGTGAGATATATGGAAGATTAGAACTGGTTTTTTAAAGGTTGTTTGGCTTATTTTGAGCAAAACTAAAAGATTTGAATGAAAATAAAAAGTTTTAGAGATTTTAGAGGTTCCACTGGGTGGCCTTTACTTGTCTGAATGATACAGATGAAAGATATCCTGAGCCATGGAGAAAGAAGAGATGAAGGAGTACCTGCTACAATTGAGGACAGTTTAGTAATTGTTTACACAGGATTCCTTTCAGCGTGTCTGCACAGGAGCCCATAAATCTGCCAAACATAGTGAGTAATAACAACATGCAGGCTCAGGTAGTCAAGTTCCACATCATACCTAGCAACCAATCTGATAAAGGATAAATGTTTGTTTGTTCCACCAGGTGTGATGGTCAGTTTGATGTCAACAAGGCCAAGTATGGCTTGGTATGTGCCAGGGTTTTTAGTGATGCAAGATTGACTAGAAGAACTTTACTTGATTTTGCAGTATATCAGTCATTATCTTGTAAACCACCACAGTAACCAGTAAAAACACTCTTCCCTAGTTATCTACTAGTACACCCAGTGGACATTACTTTTGTGGTGGAACCATTAAATGCTGATCAAAACATGCACAAAAGCAGTGGATTGCCTGAGTATATATTACATAAGTGGTGTTTCACAGTGTTCTGCAAACACAGACTCGGTCTACAATACCAGCTAATGCTGTGGTTGAAGTAACACCTGAAGAACAAATATTCCTTTCACAATCCAGAGCCATGTTTTGTTGGGCAGTTATCTTTTCAAGAGCATGTCTGAAACCTTCACATTAAACCATACATTGATAGTTTCTAAAAGAACTTTACTATATAGTTGAAAATGTAGGTTTCACCCTATGCTAAAGCCTGAACTCTTGATCTGTCAAAAAATATGTTGATCAGTTCTGACCTCATTGTTATTGTTTCTCTAAATTAGTGATGTATAAGCATACTACTTTCCATCAAGTTCATCAATCCTCCAGTTTCTTTACCAATGGAAGTAGATACAATTCCACCTGGCATTTGATGATGAAGCAGGAAAGATGTTAAGGAAGCTGATGGATTCCAACTCTTTTCTTGATAATCACTGAGTTATACAGGCACTGAACACATTGTGTGCTTTCTTATCCAGTGACTCGGGTACTTCCACTTTCCAGCCAATGATCACTTTGTTAACTAGGACCTAGAGACCAGCAGCCATAATAGACAACAGATGTCACTGAAGTATAAAAAAAGGCAATATGTGGCTTGTTCATCAGATGGATGTTGGGAAAGCTTTCTACCCATCATGTACCTTTACATCTAAATTCAGGCAATATGTGGCTTGTTCATTGGATGAATGTTGGGAAAGCTTTCTACCCATCATGTACCTTTACTTCTAAATTCTAACATATTTTACATATTTATCTTTCAATATTTTGTAAAGTCAGTTTCACATGTTTCTTTATGTATTGAGTATATTTTGTGTTACAGGCTTTTATATTTTGCTAACAAGTTATTTAACTATGTATTTTGTGTGTAACTTTGAAGTTTTGATTGTGTCTTTTTAAAGGCTTTTTTCTGTTACTACTGGGCTTGGACTGTGCATATCAGCAGGAACGTCGAGAGCCAGCATGGGCCCTGGGGTAAACATCCTTGCCGGGCACCTTTCTCTCTCTCTCTTTTTTAACATTTTCAAGAATTTATTAAAAAGAAGATCCTAAATTAGGACAGCAACGAGCTCATAAATCTGACAAAATCATAGCAGCAGCCAATTTTACCTCACAGAATAAGCATAAAAACGTTAATAAAGTACCAACAAATATCTATTAAATCTATGAAGTAACAAATACATATTGATTATTACTCAAATTATTATTTCTGTCGTTCTTAATGTATCAAGCATCTATATGCAAAGAAAAGCCAAAAATTTTGATTTTTATCAAAGCATCTTTAGGCTATATCTTCATTTAGAAGATATAGCCTAAAGATGCTTTGCAGGTTTTATGGCATAACCAGGTTTCATTCGCCTGGGCAAGAAAATGCAGGCTGTAAGTGTACCAGGGGAAGCAGAAAGTAGCATCTGTTTGATGAAAACTTTATAATTCACACCAGAAACTATTACACAACTTGTAAATGGAAACAAGTCTTTCAGAAATAACAAAGAAAGCATAGGCAAAGGCTAATGGTTAGAGGTAACAATTAGTGTTGCATGACCTGAGTTAATTTGAGTGAGCAGCAACCTGTTGCAATCTTAACCTCATTCCTTCCTACTGGAACCAGGTGCTGTCTATTTAATAACCAAACAGCAGGAAGAACAATAAGACAAGGTTGGAGAGGATGTGTTCCAGCCATCCGTGCAACAGGAACAACAAGAACAGCATGGCCACAGAAACTATGCAGAGACCTATAGAAACCTGGGATCAGGGAGGTCCTTAGGTGATGGGGATACATATTCAATGGGTAATATAGTTCATTAATACATCCCTTAGAATATGTTGCTTGACCAATGCCTGCTGTCATAGTTCATGGTCTTAACCATATGTTATGATCCATCTTAATCTATGCTTCCAACTGACCAGTGCGATACATCTACCCTTTCATTGGTATGAAGGATCAATTATTTTACTTCTAGCTAAGATGTTACTGAAATAACCAGTTATTTTCCACCCTTTGCTGATGAGTGTTTCAGGAATAGTTTCTATTTTATGATGAACCATCAGAAATGAAGACAATTACAAGGATATGCTAGCCTGAGCGGACCAGCTTATAGCCAGTCTCTCTGTCACTCAACTGGTGAAGCAGACAACAAATGTCAAAACTGGGTCCACCGGCTCAGAATGATTACCGCAAGTGTTCACTCGGGAACTCTGTTTTCAGGAAGTTGTGATACTACTTCCCAGTCAACTGTTTATATATATATATATTGAATTATTTATTTATTTTTTGTCAGTGTATATAAATACATATTTCTGATGGAAAAATCTGTTTTTATATATATACAAAGCTGTTTTGATTGTATTTTCTTCTGTTTAAGTGAAAGGATTTTATTTTAATGTGCTGATT